AAAAAAAAAAAAAAAAAAAAAGGAGGAAGAAGTTATTCTTCAAATCTTTTTGCCTTTTTCCATTTTTGTTATCTTCTGAACTTTATTGTTGTCTTCATACAAGAATAACCTGGAAAAAGTAATAAAAACAAAAACAATTTCTTTTTCTTTCATAAAAAAGGAGAAAAAGGACTAGCGGATGCATATCAGAAATCCAAGTAGAAAACACAGATTTTAGAACACAACAAACTGATAATGACATGGGATTAGGTGGCTTCCTCTGAGATTATCACATTTCTTCTTCTTACTTCTTAATTCCTTTGGCTCTTACGTTGATCAAAAAATGGCTTACTATTCTGTTCAAGAATAGCATCATTAATGAAATTTACAAGGCAATTATGTACTATCTTGTTAGTAGTTTGACAACAACACTAATTATTACGTCTCAATTCCAAACAATTTAAAGAAAATTATAGAAATCTTCAGGATTATATTTCTCTATTTAAATTCATCTCACACCTCGAGACAAAGGCCAAAAAATTAACAAATGAAATGATTTCAGTAGGCAGGGGACTATCTTCTTTAGCCCCCTTAATGGTTTGCCGGATCTTCATAATCAGAGGTGGACCAAGGATTTAAAAATAACAGGACATTATTATCGAATAAAAATTTAAGCAAATACTAAAGTAGAAATCAAACACAAGCAACGCAACAAAAGTCAAGATGTGCCTCCCAAATCGACCAATGCTGCCTAAGTTTTGAGTCTTAGTATGCAAATCAAAATATATACCTCTTATTTAAGATATATATACACATATATACATGAAGGGGAGGCTTGGCGTAACCGGTAAAGTTGTTGCCATGTGACCAGGAGGTCATGGGTTCGAGTCATGGAAACAACCTCTTGCAAAAATGTAGGGTAAGACTGCGTACAGGAGACCCTTGTGGTCCGGCTCTTCCCTGAATGCGCGGGAGCTTATTTATTTATTTATTTATTCCAAAATCAATAAGGGCCATTGACTTCCCTGCCCTAAGGATAGGTCCGCCTCTGCACATAATAAATTGGAACCAACAATCTAAATGTCTCATTAAAACCAAAAACATGTACAAATATGATGTTTAATATGATTCTTTTTGTTTATGCTACAAAGGGTTAGGAGATCTTGTAGAACTATTATTATCCAATACAATTTCAAATAAATCACCTTCAGACTCCAAATCATAATCTAATACTTGTTTCAAACTATTGACAGTATTGTTATTGCTTCTTGTTGTAGTAGTACTTCTGTTAAGCCACTGAGCATCAATTCTACCCATTGAGAAAAGTTCTTTACTATCTTCATATCCCAAAACTGGTGAATTTGCCAAAGGACCAATGAAGCAAGGATTTGGTGTTCTTTGTATATTTGCTGGTGGATATCTGAATACACTTTGTCCAAGATTTACTAATACCAAAATGTCACCATTTGCTGCTAAAGTTGGATATAATGGATTTCCAAATTCTTCTGATTTGCAACGGATTTCGTGTACTAGTAGTGAATCCACTGTGAAAAACACCTTCTTTTGGCTTGGATTGTATCCACAACCAATTACCTTTTCTGCTTTTCCCCATTCTTCTCTTTGTGATTCATACACCAGTTTCATTCCTGCAACATATTATCAAGACAAAAAACTTGAGTTTATTGTTTTCCTTTCGGGGGTTGATTTCACGTATAGTCATGAACTTTATCCATTATAATAATAATACAACAACAACAACAACAACAACAAAATCCAGTGTAATCCCACAAGTGGGATCAGGAGATGGTAGATTACACAAACCTTACCCCTAACTTGTGAGGACAGAGAGGTTGTTTTCGATAGACGCTCGGCATATCCATTATAATATTAAAGTTACAAAACTACTCTTTTCGCATTATAATTAAGCTTCATTTGCGATAACAGTAAAGTGACTCTACAGAACTCGCTATAACGAACAACAACAACAACAACAACAATAAACCAAGTGAAATTCGACAAGTAGGCTGTGGGAAGGGTAAAGTATAAGCAGACATTACCCCTATCTTATGAAGATAGATAGAATGTTTCTGAAAGACCTTCGGCTAAAAAACAATGAACTCACTGTAACAATAAAGTTATAAAATTATTTGTCACATTAAAATAATAAACTTTACCTAATAAAATACTCTAGTAAAGTCATCAAACTTTAGCTACTATAACGATAAAACCTACTCATTAAGGTAACTTTACTTCTATTGTGATTAATATTTTGTGACTTTACTAATTATATTGGATAAAGTTCAATTAATTTAGTAACAAAAATAATTGTGACTTTACTGTTATTTGTAGGTAAAATTCAGTAACTATATGTGAAATTAAATTTTTTTGGAGTGTTGTCAGTGTGACTAATTATGTTTGTGACCTTACAATTCCACAATGTTGATCATTGACAATTAAAAACAAATGACTGTTTACTTCTGTGACCTTTGGTAAAAAGAATGGGCTACCCAATAAACTTAATTGTATGCAAAAAAAGAAAAATGCCCACTATGAAAAGTCTATGAATATTTTCAGTGCTACAAATTGACTTCTAGAACTCTGTTTAAGCATTGTAGCTACAGCAAAATGGACATAGGAATATTAAAAAATATATATATATATATATATATATATATAATAAAAATAAAGAAGAACTTACCATCAAGAAATACAGAACCATTTGAGTTAAATCCAATAGAACCTGAATAACTGCCTGGAATCTTAGGTGGAAGAGAACCACCATTTGTAAGCCCAATTGATAACACAATAAAATCACTCCTGAAATTGTCCTTTGATTCTTGAATTTTTTGATGTCCATTTTGCCTTTGACTACTTGTAACATGAACCAAAGATTCTGAATTTGCTTTTGAATTAGAATCCTCTCTAATAAGCTTAATTTTCTCAATATTATCCTCCTTTGCTTTTCCCATGATTTCACCATCTTCTTGATTATAAGGCAAAATTGTAATCTCAAAATAAGCTTCTTGTGGAAATGATGAATTTCCTAAATGGGGTCCAGGCAAAGGTAAACAAGTTTTTATAACAGAAGAAGCTGACATTAAATTAGAACTTTTGGTTTGTTTTTTAATCCCAGAATTAAATCTAATTTTTTGCATAAAATCAGCTGAACCTTGACAAATTTCCCAACTCATATCAACTTCTAATTCATTTCCATTTTCACCTACACCACATGATCCTAAAAGAGACCTAGCTGATCGAACGGATGGAGATGGAGCATAAGTTGTGAAACCAAATCTTGACCATCCATTTTCAACAGCATCAGTTACTAAAGATGGATGATCAGACCAATTGAAAAAGTTTTTGGTCGATATTACCCCTTGTTTGAAAACATAATAATTTGTTTTCTTTGTACCATCACGATCAAGATGATGAAGACTTACTGTGTGAAGTTTTGAAATCCCATTTTGCAAATTTTGAGGTCTTTCTGAATTTGATTCTCTACGTTTTCGTGGACAACATCTTCTCTGAATTATTATGATCATAATTAAAACAAGAACTCCACTTGAAACTGCTACAAAAGTAATCTTCAACCATTCTTGCATCTTCAAAATCTTCTGATTTTGCTCCTATAGATGAATTAAGCTATAATTGAGATATATGAAAACAAAGTTTTGATTTTTATGTAACAGAGGAAAAACATGAAGGGTGGCGGCAAGGGACTAGGAATGGTTCAAGAAAGGCTGCAATAAAGACCAAAAAGAGAGAGAGAGAGGGGGAGGGAGAGAGTTGACGAAAAATTAAAAAAAAAAGGAAACAGTAAAGAGGATAGAATTAAATGGAAAGAATGGTGTGGCATGCTGATAAGAAAGATAACATTAATACCTTTTCTTTATTGACAAAAATACAGGCACAACAGGGACAACCCGAGACACAAAGCATTCTGCATTTATGCATGGTCCGGAAAAGGGCCGCTGTCAAAAGTATAATATAGACTACATATCCTAATGCAAGTATTACCAGCTATTTCCGGCTCGAATCAGTAATTTATAGGTCCACGGAGATAATTTTACCGTTGTTCTAAGAGTCCATTCCAATACAGACACGCTCATAAATACATATATAGTAGTTATTAAAAACCGACACCATTTTTTGGGCATTAGGAAACGCGTCTTCTTTTGTTTTGATTTAAGTTTCAAAGTACATAGAAAGGTAAAATGGGGAGTTCTCTTGTGTTAGTAATCCCTTCTAGATAACAAAAATTCTTGAATTGAGGTCAAAGGATTCATGGTTTGACTAGTTTCATATTAACCAAAGACCAAAACGAATTTAATTACTTTAGTGTGATAAAAATTAGTTTTCTAACCTTGTTATAGTAGGTAAAGTATAGCAATAACATCTGAAATAATTAACTTTTTGGTTCTATTTAATGTTTTTTTTCTCAAAAACTGCTTATCTAAATTTTTCTAAAAACATACAAATCAAAAAAGGAAAAAAAATTAAAAACAAATCAAATATAGGAATTGCAAATCATCAACATAACGAGCATAGGCACCACATTAAAAAGTTCTTCAAGTGATGTTTTGTTAACATATGCAAGAACAGAATTAAGTATCTGATACTCATAAGTCATACCTTTGACTTCTCTTCTTTATAGGTTCAAAGTCAAATTTGAACAAATTAGTGAGTATAGACCAGAAAATTGAGAGAGATGAGAAGCAACGAGAAGAAAAGGCATAAAAATTCTTGAATTCGAAGAATTGGATTAGATTAGGATTCTTTTGAATTTTTGCCGTTTAAAGTTAATAAGCATTAGTAAAGTCTTTGGGGCTACGTTGCGTAATGGTTTTCACTTATCATTAAAATTTAAATGCAAATCACTACTTTGGTATTTATCTTTTGGCAAATTTTAGGTTTCACTTTTTTGTCTGTATGTTTTTTCATCTATAATTCGCCATTCCTGTATTTTGCAGGTTAAAATGGTTCTTACGAGACATATGCCCCCCCCCCCCCCCCCAAAATCCAAAACCCCGCAAACCCCCCATAAGAATTGTCTATTATACCTAACTGTCTCTTGGTCCATCCATCATTAAAAAAAGGGAAATTTTTGTTCTATACCATATACGAAACTATATTACCAAATATGTTCATAGTTTGCATATTACCCTTCATGCTAATAGTATTTTTACAAAATATAGATAATGCATTAAATAAGGAATCATTGTAGCTGTAGTATTCCTTATTTAGGCGCGCTAAAATTGGGGAATTAAATATTCTTCCAGATCTTCCACAACGCAGATCACGCACATTCATAATTATCGTCGGCTTCGTTTCAAATCTTCCATACTCTGTTTTTGCGATACACTCTGTATGCGAATCTGCGTGATACACTCTGTTTTATGCGAATTTGTCGAATAACGCAGAAGATGTGTATACAATCTGTTTTATGCGAATTTGCAGAAGATTTGCGCATTTCGACATAATCAAGCACATTCATAATTGCCTTTTTTGCAGAAGAGAGCAGCAATTCCACCATTGACAACCATTAAAAAGCTTTGAATTCAAATTTGGATTTTCAAAAATCATTATTTTTTTGGATTTTGTGTTGTTGAAAATAATTGGGAATATGGTTTGGAGTTTATATCTCAATTTTGAGGGGTTTTGGTGAAGATTAGACTTGGTTTTGACTGAATTTCAGATTGAAACTCGAAGAAGAAGAAGAAGAAGAAGAAGAAGAAGAAGAAGACGACATGACATACATTATATTGCAGAAGTTGTAGAAAAATTATAGATAAATTGTAGAAAAATTGTAGATTGTTGTTTATTTATTTTTCTTTTATTCATTTACCTATTGTATGAAAGTTGAACAACATTGTATAAAAATTGTATTTAAGTGGATGATTTAGTACTGTTTTTTGGACAAAAATATGTATAAAAAATGTGAAACATACATTTCAGGGGAAGCATGTCGAGTCCAAATATGTACCCAGTTTGTAGATATTTTATAGATAAATTGTAGATTATTTGTATGCTGATTGTAGATGCTTTATTTTCTGTTTTCACAAATAAAAAATGACTAAAACTTATACAAATCTTCTGAAAAACCGCAATTATGTCAAAATTCCCAATTATGCTACAATTGAATGGGAATTGGGATATTAAAATTTAATGTACCCAGTTTGTAGATATTTTGTAGATGAATTGTAGATTATTTGTATTCTGATTGTAGATGCTTTGTTTTCTGTTTTCACAAATCAATAACGACTAAACTTCTACAAATCTTCTGCAAAAAACGCAATTATGTCGAAAATCCCAATTATGCTACAATTGAATGGGAATTGGGATATTAAATATATGTACCCACTTTGTAGATATTTTGTCGATAAATTGTAGATTATTTGTATTATGTCGAAAATTTCGATTATGCTACAATTTCTGTGATTCTCCTATATGCTCTTGTTACTCCTTACGAAACTGCTATGCTAAATATGGAATCCAAAAAAACATGATGAAGGGATAGATCTTCTTAAGAAATTTTGTAGATAATTTGTAGAAACATTGAAATTCTGTATTTTCATATTAATTTTTCAAATGATATGTAGTTTTGTTGTAGAATAAATGTAAAAAACAAGCCATTGTGAGTCTTATTTGACTCATTCCTCACATTCAACCTATTCTACAAATTCACGCCTCTTTAAATACAATACAACCATACTTTCTTCAATTTAAAGGTATAGCAATATATATAACTTAAAAAACATCTTCTCCTCTGCACAAGTTAGCTCCAAAACAGACGAAGTGGAATAACAAGCTCCCATCAAAACTTTTAACACAAAAATACAAAGCTCAAAAATAAATAAACAACAGTCTACAATTTATCTACAATTTATCTACAATTTCTGCAATATAATGTATGTCATGTCTTCTTCGAGTTTCAATCTGAAATTCAGCCAAAACCAAGTCGAATCTTCACCAAAACCCCTCAAAATTGAGATATAAACTCCAAACCATATTCCCAATTATTTACAACAACACCCAATCCAAACAAATAATGATTTTTGAAAACCCAAATTAGAATTCAAAGCTTCAAAGCTTTTTAATGGTTGTCAATGGTGGAATTGCTGCTCTCTTTTCCTTTCCTCTTATATTACTGAAATTTGGGATTGCGAGATAGAGAGAGACGTAGAGAGAATTCTCAATTCTTTGCAACAACATCCAATCCAAACAAACAATGTCTTTTGAAAATCCAAATTCGAATTCAAAGCCTTGGCTATGGAAGAAATAATGGGATTTTGATACAGAAATCGTGAGTGTGGGAGGGAATCGTGGGTGAAGATGTGGGAATTGGAGAGAGAAACGTGGGGGGAGTGGTATTAGAAGGAATATACGGTACCATTAAATTAGGAGTGTAATTAATACCCTTAAAAACCACTAATGGTATATAATTAGTAATTAGGTATACTAAATGTAATTATATCAAACCTTAAACATTGAGGGTAATATAGTTTCCTATATGGCATAGGAATGTAAAAATTCCATAAAAATTTGATCAAAATTGCTCGCGGCCGATCGACCTTCGGTTAGTCAAAACACCAATAAAAAAATTTATCGAAGTCGGTCGGTTTTCTAAAATAACTTTTTTAAATTTTTTACGAAATCAATCGAATTTGTTTTGCGCTAAAATGCGAAAAAATATTTTTGCATCCGGGAAAATTTATTTTAAATAAACCAACAAACTTTGACCAATTTTTTTTATTTAAAATAACTTAAAATTCATATTTAGAAAATCGATCGAAATTGGATGGTAGTTTTAAAAAAGGACCAATTTTGGTGATAATTTAATTTTTTTAAACAAAAAGGGCAGTAATTTTCGTACAAAAATAAAGAGTATAATTAAAATAAAAGAAAGTCTTAAACCAAAAAGCACCAGTAGTTTAGTGGTAAAAATAGTATGTCGATTTTTCGGGTCGCCCTCTTTTTTTGGGTCGGGCGTGGGATTTAATTGACCAACTGAAATCGGTCGGCTGGCTCTACCGACCGCTATGAATCGATCGTTGTTCAGTCACTTTTTGTCGATACCGACCGACATCGGTTGATTTTCTCAGTTGATTTTGACCGGATTTCTAGTAGTGATCAGTTTTGATATAAGATTCAAATTCTAGCTCCGCTCAACTCTAGGTAGAAATATAATATCTAACGGTGAATAACTTAGTAGTTAGTAAAGGTTACTGTTCAGAACATAGCATCGTACATTCAAATCTCATGATTTGATGGCTCCTTTTATTCAACGGGGTCTTTTTATATATTTGCGTCAAATGTGTAAAATGTAGATCTATAATAAAAGTGAACAAAATTGGAAATAAATAAAGGATAACAATAAGAGAGAGGGTCCAGTATTCATCAAACAAGGTGAATGGTAGTTTTTTGTCGAGGGCAGTTAATTGATGGTTATAATAATCAATTACAATTCTTTAGCGTAGGGATGCTATTGAAGTAATGATTTAGCATAATCCCCTTTTCTTTTGCTTTTTTCTTCTTTATTTTTTCTTGTTTTACTTTTCTTTTCATTTCTTTGGATTCATTTGCATGATCCTTAAAAGACCAAAATAAAGAAATCGACAATTTCATGCCAAAAGCTGGTCCAATCTTCAGACTTTTCTTCTTGTTATACAGAAAATTTTACAAAAGACTAAACTTTTGAAAAAGTAAAAGATAGACAACGAGAAGGGCGGGCCAACAATTTCCTGAAATTATAACTATTATTCAATAAATTTTGAGCTACTTATAAATACTTTAAGTGACTATCATCTTAGACAATTGAAAATCATAGCTTTAGGCATCATCTTCTTAACATTGTAG